ATTTTAATATGATAAACACATAAAATAAATTTTACAAGTGAATAATAATTCTTCTGTTGGAAAGATGGATGTAGGACACTTGACATTCTGTACAGCTACAACCACAGTGACACATACAGTCAACATTACAGATACAGGAATACATTACAACACACACACACACACAGCATCATATGCACAGACAGAAATACATATTGATAGGCAGAGGGGATGACTTTCTTTCTTAAACCCTATCTTTAGACAGGGTCGCTCTTGTTACTCTGTACTCACAATACAGTCCAAGCTGGTATAGAACTCTTACTATGTTTTTCCTAGTGACTGAATTCAAGGTTTGCGGTACTATTCCTGATCATCACTTGCAGGTGCTTTTAAAAGATTTATTATGAAAAAAATAATTTAAAATACATTTAAGCACATCCTTTTATGCAATACATTCTGATCATTATTTTTACTTTTTTTGTTTCTCCCCAGATCCTTCCTCTCCCCAAACTTACTCAATTACATAGTCCCCTGTGTTTTATTGACATTTAAGGGACTGGTCTCATGGCATTTATCCATATTTATATTGAGAGTTTAAAAAATCTGTAATTGTTAGTACATTTGCACATTTATAAATTATATAACGTATATATTTGTGTTATAGATTACAATATTTTTGTTAGAGTGTATGAGGTGCAGATTGCTCAGGGTACTGAACCTGCTCCTAGAATGAGAACCTCGGTTGACCTTCAGCACTTAGCTGAGAAGCTGGGTGGGATGGTTTATCTCAGGATCTGAACTCTTGTGATGCATTGTAACTTTGTACCATGGCAACCACTTTATATCTCTGCTTCATTCCCTAGGGACTGTCATGTCCTGAAAAACCATGAAATTGACTCACTTAAGTCTATGGATGTGAGAAATGATATTTTTCTGTGCAAAATCCATAAAATTTGATTTTTTGTTTTAGTGGATTTTGCTCTTGAATTTAAGACCTTGCAAATGGTAGTCAAGTACTGTACCACAGAACTATACACCAAGACCTTTTATTTTTAAAACATTATATTCTCCTGCAGAAAATAATGCTTTGGTGACAAAATTGATTTAATCAATTCAAATGTAAACACCAATTATCCCAAGTTACTCTCCTTAGATATTCTGCGTGTATCACTGCTATAACCAGAGGTAAAGAAAGTGTAAAGAATCAGTGTTCTGGGCATCAATCTCAAGAAAGTAGAAGTAAGGAGAAAAGTGAAACCAAACCATATAGAGAAATATTGAGAGAGAGAGAGAGAGAGAGAGAGAGAGAGAGAGAGAGAGAG